GATAGATAGATAGATAGATAGATAGATAGATAGATAGATAGATAGATAGATAGATAGATAGATAGATAGTGTCCTCTGTATGCATGTGGTATGAGACATTATAGGACTTTGGGTAATGGGGACATATACAGATTGAATAACAGAGGTCCAAGTATTGAACCCTGTGGCCCCCCACATGAGAGTGGATTTTTTAGGTGCTATTGCCAGTTGATACAAAATACTTTCTATTTTGAAGATAGAATTTAAACCAGTTCAGAACTGTGAAAAGAAGCTTCCAGTAGATTTTATTTATTCCATCTTCAGCATAGACATCTTGAGCATAGAACCAACTTTTCCTAACTTGTTTGAAACGTTACAGTGTGGCAGGTCCTGAGCTGTAGTTTGCTTTGCATTCAGATTAGCAGGACCTCATGAATACAAAAGTATTCTGAACAGGTAGTAAATAAAAAACTAATAAATCAGGAAGTTGAAATAAACACAAGCAGGTTTATTACATGCAGAGCAGCCAGCGTGAGGAGGAGCTGGCTTGTCCGTTAAATAATCTGATGTGGCACTCCTCCATGCAGCTCCAGATACAGCAGCACAGCAGAGGCTCCTCCTGGCAGAGATAAGCTCTGAGAAAAGGCTTTGTCATGACGAGACTGACGGGTTTGTTTCTTGTTCACAGTCCAGCTAATGTGGAGGATTCCTCTGCAGGCTGGATCCAGCTGGGATCTTTAAATATAAACCTATATGATCTGACGTTTCTCTGCACATACTCAAAAAACATCTATAATCAGGAAAACAAGTATTTTCAGTCTGGTTTTTAATACATACAGAAACTTCACACAGTAAACCTTAATGATTTAAATCTTTTAGTTCCAATAAATATATAAAATTCTGATACCGTAAGCAACAAGTAGAAAGTTGTTACTTTCATTTCTGCTTGTTTTCATTGCAGCTTGTTGTTGTAAAAAATAAAAACTATCCATATAAACTGAGCCTCCTAGATAGAGTGAATTTAACTGT